ACGTCTTCTTACGTACATCCCGGACGTCCGATCACGGAGAACGATATGAAAGAAGAACTGAACAGGAAACAAAAGCAGCTTAGGCCGCCTTTGGGCCCCTAAAGGAAACCGTAGACCAACTGACAGATCCAGAGTTTTGAGCCCACCTGCTCGACTCGACCGTTTTCCCAAACGCAGCAGAGATGTGGCCTGACACTGCGGTTATGTCGAAGACTCTTCGAACAACCCACGGAACGTCGGAACGACGTCTTTGAAACTAAAACTGACGCACACATCATCTCGCAGGACTTCGCAGTTCAGATATGAGACCAATGTTTATCTTACGGACCCTGGAATACGTCTCTAAAACAAAACATCGATGGGCTGATCATATAATGAGAAGAGCAGACGACAGATGACACTATTAACTCTGAAATAGATCGCTCGCAAAGCAAAACGTCCACGAGGGAGGCCACCGACCAGATGGGCTGACGTGTTTGTTGTAGGATGGGCCAGTTGAAATCTCAGCTGGTAACGAATAATGGATCCGGAGCTCGCAAACTTCACCGCCGCAGTTTCTTACCAACATCGTGGATGGTGCTAGCGTGAGCAGAAATATATGCAAGTGCTTCGGCCTATGCGATGAATGAGGACATGCCATCTAAGTGTTCAAGTAAGTAAGATGTTTAGTGTGCAGAAAAATTGCCCGAATGGAGTGATATGAGCATGGAATGCTGAAGCTCATAAACTCGCAACATGTCTAGTGCTCTTCCTCGGCTATTCACTGTTACGACGTCGCGAACCTGTGACATCCTCGCATCCTCCCAACAACGAGCCGTTGGAGCAGGACGCTGAGAGACAGCTGGTTCTGGCGCGAGTCAAGTTTGACACACGTTGCGATCTGATGTTGTAACTTACCATCCTGATATTTCCTGAGATTTTGGTTTTTGATCATTATTTCAAAACAAAAGTATTAAGAGCAATCTTCGATTCTGGTTTGATGGAAACGTAAATTTTAACGTATTTCATGCTCTCAAAAATGCTTCACGCTCCTGTGCGAGCTTGCAAATTTAACGTTTACTTGGTTAGTTTTGTGGTAAGATTTTGCTTGAGCAGCATCAAAATTATTCAAAAGCAACGCCAAGCTGGTAAGCCAGCAACACTCTGTTAGGATAATTTAAAATTATGAACACCCATGATATTCGGAAATATATTGAATTGAACTTTGGAAAACGCTTGAGCTAATTGAACGGGTTAGAACAATTTTTGGGACACTCATTATATATTTCTTCCATTGTAGTTCTATTGTTATGGTCTAATTTCTTGAGGTTTTTCACATATACCCTTAAAAGGAAAGGCGCTTATGGCGACAAACTCAAAATACACTCACTTTTTAGCTTTCCTTTTCCTTCGTG